AAGTTGGAGGAAACGGGAGAACTCAAATTCGAGAGAGGGCAAAAAAAGAGAACTCAAAAGCTCTGTAAAGACGAATTCAACACGCGACCACTGCACCGCCCTCTTCTGGCCATCTCGCTACCTCAACCGACACCGCCGCTGGTGTCCCTCACCCCCCCACCCCGACAGCCTCCCACCCGAGTACCTAGCGGTGACGAAAACTCCGCCACGCTTGGGCGCGTTCCCGCAGTCATTTGGTTTCGGTTTATTTTGAAGTACCGTGCGAGGTTTTCGTCAACGAAAACCTCGCACGCCGCTGCTGTGACAATACAGAAACATGACCGAATAATACAAATGAATAACTTTTTTTAAAAAGGTAAGAAATCACGTATTTTCACGCATAAAATGTATACTTTTTTAAGTTTTGAGCTCATTAAGGAATAAAACAAAAGTACAAGATCAGGCATAAAAAGTGCCAGTGGTAAAACACATTGTTACCCAAGAAACACTAAATTGAAATCTCCAATAAAATAAAAAATTGAAATAAAAAACTAAATATAAATGCTCCATCACCAACATCATTCTCCACATTCCTTTGTTAAGTAAATCGCCTATTGGATGAAGGTCGCCCTCTGCACTCCGTGTCAGCCGTGACCATACCTCACCGCAATTTGGTGGCGGGTGTGTTTCATTCAACGCACGCCGCTTATTTTGGAGGAATAAAATCAACGTTGCATTATTGTTGTTGTTGTCCCACTGCGCGGTGAGTTGCGTTGGCATCACCCCTGGAAAGTAGACGCCATGTGCGGTATCATGAGCATAAATCATCAACTCTGTTCCAGTGTTTCATAATTTATCCGACCATCGACAATGTGTATTTCAAAATCCCCGTGTCAAAGGCGACTGTGGCAATGGCGAGCCGGTTCCGCTAAGGGTTTGACATACCGTCTCCATTCACACAACACGACTATAATCAATAGGTAATTACAACGCTGGTTCCTTTAACAGAAAAGCTGTGCTGAATGATACAGTAAGAGCGACGCATTTGTTTGAAGGCAAAGCAATCGCGCCCGCTCACGCGCAATCATTCCGGCTTTTTTACATCGCAACTAAAAACGTAACCGTTGCAATATCTCTCAATCGATTTAACAATATGAAACTTGATTCATACCCAGAAGCGATCGATAGGCTAGACAGCGAAATTAGATAAGCTATGTTCCTGGCACGGCTCTGAATAATCTACAATTATTATCAATTAACGTATTACTCACTCGGCACAAGAGAGCCGGGGCTTGTGGTCTCAGTTTGCGTGAGTTCAAATCCAGATTAGGGTTGACTCACGACCGCCCATCGTTGACATCATCGCGGTCATCGCCATCCCCCTGGGCCGCTTGTGCTGCCAACTCCCTTGCCCCAGTGCGGCTCCACTACGTTCAAGGCCTTCCCCATTACCCTGCCCATGTCTTCTTCTGCCGATAGAATTCTTATGCGAGTCCCGCTCATTTGTGCACAGTGTCACAGTGTGTTGAGAAGCAGCTGCGTTCAGATTATCTCCGTATGTGCGTCTTCATAAATTGTACTCTACTGTGTTGTCCAGAGCCGCACTCAAATATATTTGCAATTACAACAGCAAAAAAATCATTTCGGTTAATTATGAATTGCACGATTGCAATTGTAATCGGCTCCAGGTCTGGTATTATATCACCAACATCACCATCGTCATCGTTATCGACATTATTGTTTCTATAGGGTTGGTTACTTGAGCACCACCTGGAGAGACTGGTCTCTACCATCGGAATGTGGAATTTCCAGGACTGCTAAACGTAAAACTATCCAGCAGTGGCCTGACAACAAAGCTGTACATGTACATACACACATAAGCAGAACTCTGCCTCCCATGTCTCCACACGATGACACTCATGCTTGATGGATTTACGAACATGGCAAGCGAGCAAAATGTGGCTTAAACCAGGCACACATTTGATTACTTTTCTTACAATGTAGCTAATTAATTAATTATGACAGAGAGAAAGAATGGAAGAATGGTGCGATTAACACGTATGCATGAATGGATATTAAACACTAAAAGGCATAAAGTAATTGGTGTGCTCCATCAGCAAATCTCCACGTATAATGTAATATGATGAAACGCCGTGAACTCGCATCACCATCCCCCCCACCCCCGCTGCCTTCCATTAGCAAATCGATACACTGCATTTTACCCCAATTATGATAATAACTTCATTGTAGGTGAGAATAGGTTTTCGCCTTTTTTTCTGGCAACAAAACAGGCGTTAAGATGTTAAAACACCAAGCTGAAACCTTTTACAAGGAATCATGTGTGCATTAACCACAATACTTGTGGTCAGAATGCAAACAAAAAACATACTCTGATAATATATGCATTGTCTTTGAAATTGATTGGTCCACACCAGAGACAGCTTATTTTTGGCGTCCTCTGGTCTAACACCGTTATGAGACGAGGCTCAAAAGAAAGCTGTCTCTGGTGTGGACCAATCAGTTTCAAAGTCAATGCATATAGTTTCAGAGTGTTTTTTGTTGGCATTCTAATCACACGTATTGTGGTTAATGCAGACATGATTCCTTGTTAAAGGTTTCAATTTGGTGTTTTAACATCTTAACACCTGTTTTGTTGCCAGAAAAAAAGGGGAAAACCTATTCTCACCTATTCTCATATTTGGGTACTGGCAAAGGAGGTCCCATGTAACTTCATTGTAATAATAATAAGTAGCCAACAGGTATACATTTTTTTAGGTCCAATTTCTCGATGCCAATCCTTTTTGTGGGCATCTTTATTCGTCCATGCACATTTGGGCACCGTTGATATTTGCGCACGCGCGTGCGTTTTGTTTGTTTGTCCGTCTGTTGTTCGCTTGATTATTTTTCAAACTATAGCTTGAAACCCTCTCGGGTATCCTCGTGTTTTACGGGCCATTGAGCCTGGTTGATAATATGAGTGGACAAAAAAAAAACAATCATTAAGGCACGACGATAAAACAAAAACAAAAAAGACGCCAGTCGCTGCACGTATCCTTCACGCTGACTTGTCGCTGGCGATTTGGGCGATGCGCCTTGGTTGAGAGTGGAGAGAGACATGGTGGGGGGGGGGGGGGTGGCGGAGTGAACGACCGATTCGCAGTTTACGCTCTGCACTACTGGGACCGTGGGAAGTTCTAAGCAAGGGTTCATAAATGAGAAATGAGTTGTGCCATTTCCTGTCTCTTTCGCCTGCAAATGTCTCTACTCTTGCCCCACCCCGCCACCCTCCAAAAAAAAAACCACAACTCACTGCCTTGTTTATTGCGTTTGAACGTTTGCAAGTTTTCTCAGGGGGCTCCCGAGTGTGAGATGAGTTCAATTCCAACACATTCACATCTTCTATCCGCTCCGTTCTTAAGAAGGGCACATTGCTAGGCTATCTAGCCTCCTTTAAGTAGGCGGCTGCATAGTCCACCATTAAGGAGATAATCCGCAGCACGCCACAGTTATATTTTCCAATTGATGTATATGAAAATCATGGTGCACGGTAGCATATCTAGTGGCTTTCGGCGATCGTGCGTATCCCCTGCACACGGACCAACGACGCTCGATTCTCACACGCGTGCACCGTGAGCGTAAGAATGGAATGTGACCGGTGAATAGATTTGTCGTTAACGCCTCGGATGGTAATGACCCCTCCCTTTCCCGCTGTAGCTGCCGCTTGCAAAAGGGATAACGTATCTGAACGGCCTCTCACCTCTAAATAAATACAACCAGTAAAAATAAAGCCATCGATCAGACCGCCGATCCCAATACACCTTCCCTCTCCACACGATCCGGTGTTCAGCAGGTGGACTTTGGTACTGCTTTGTCACGCGCTTTCGCCCAGAGTCCATTCATCCCATCGCCGTGTCTGCGGTCTGCGGAACGAAGAATGTCAGTTGGGAACTTATCTTGCACCGCCTGCCCAGTATTGATCAATCACTTGCCGTGGCCCTTCCTGACTCCCAAGTCCTGTGGACCAGATCAGTGTTTTTTCAGTAACGTCATTTGTTTGCGAGGCTTACACCCACAGAATACGTTTTGCGATATTCTGGGAGAGCCCTCAGAATCAATTCCTTGCACTCATCTGGTTCGGGCACATTTCAGTCATCCGTCCATCATCATCATCACCATCATCTTTGTTGTTCGTTGTAGTCTCTCGGATGATGTCGCATGTGTAATAGTTTTCACACTGGATGTGCAATCCAGAGGTCATCGGTGAGATATCCTGGCGAGGCACTTGATTTAAGAATCTATTTAATGGTGCTGCTAGCTCCTGGACCTTTCACGGTCTAGTGGGATTGTAAGTTTCACGGATCCATGTGACCCACCAACCTTTTGCAACCAATGCGATTGATTACAAGCGTGCGACACTACACCCCGCCTAATGAAGACTAAATTACGGGTCATTAGGGCACATTGATAAATTATGGACGAGATGGAAACTTTACACTGGCTGGTTGTATATACACTGTGTGTAAACATACGTGTCTATTAGTTGAATGCACGTTAATGAGCTATTGCACTCAGAAATGTGAACGTGTCGATGGCCGGGTTGTCGTTTTCCATAATCGTAAAGACGATGATGGAGAAGGAAAAGAGGCAGCACTTCAATTTTTTGCTCACATTCCTGCTAGTGGGGGGGGGCTCTACAGAGGCCCTCTAGAGGGCATTTGGCCTACTCTTTCACTTTGGCCAGACATTTTGGAAATAGGTGGGAGTGCCCACACTTTACCCCGCCGCAGATGACCTGTTGATCCATTAGCTGCTGGGGGTGGCGGGGGGGGGGACAGAGGCGATAGGGGAAGTGGGATTCAAGAAACCTGTCCCATGATTAGACCTGACGTGGCCTCAACACCCAACCTCCTCACCCTCCAGCCATCCACCTCACCCCCCGACCCCTTAACCCTTCTCCGCGCCTCGTCTGGCGTCCCAAACTCATCCCCGTCGCCGCTGCTCGCTGGGCACTGTGTCTGCAGACGAGGAGGAGGAGGATGACGAGGTGGTTGAGGACATGTACGACGGACAGCCCGGCCTGGCGGCGGTCGGGGAGACAGCTCTGGGGGCCGTCGGGACGGTCCCGTCGGACGGCGACGAGCGGGACGACGACGACGCCGCCGCCGCCGCCGCCGCAGCCGCCGCCGCAGCCAATTGCCTGCTCAGCAGCAGCGCGCTGAGCGCCGGCGCGCACGCGGCCCTCAAGCACGGGCCGCCGTCGCTTCCCAGCTCGCCCTCCATGCTTCACTCGGCCGACGACAGCCAGGAGTTTGGCCGTAAGACAGCGCGGCGGTGCGGGGTGTACGCGCGCGGCTGGCGGCGGGGGAAGAGGGTGGGGTGGGGCGTGGCGTGGCGGTGGTGGCCGGGGTTTGTTCATTTGGCCGTTGGTGGTGATGCATTCATCATCATCCTCCTCATCTTCTTCTTCTGAATCAGCTACACGGTTAAAATGTGCATTATTTAAAAGGAATTACTTGATTGGGAAAAGCCATATATGAAATTTCACACCCCTACATGCAGACTAATGACCAACTGCACAATTAAATATGAAATTGATCAATATGTTCACTAAATTCTTTTTTTAATTTCTATGTGTAAATAATTCGGTGATGCTGGTGTGTTGGCAGTGGTGCACAAGCACAATTAACAAAGAACTCAGCGCATCTGTCAATAATGCTGTGGCCTTAAAAGGAAAGTAAATATAACAGTATTTCCACCAATGGGCTCTCTTCTTCTTGCGTGCTATGAAGAAAGGAAATTTCCCAAAACGTTACCTGTTAAATATTTTTACTTTAAAAGTCATACTGTTATTGACAAATGTGTTGATTTTTTTTCAATCTATGCACTCACCTCTACACATTTCGTTGCCGCGGTGCCACGTGGCACTCGCCTTCGTGCAGAGAAGCGGAATTCAACTTATAACTTTCTTAAACCGCCCGCTGCGTCCTCACCAACTCGACCCGCGACGCACGTGCGAGGGGGCTTCCCGTAAGCCGCTCAGCGGACGATTTTTTTTTTAAAATAAATGCCGACCACGGATGTGCATGAATCATACAATCCCCGAGCAGGTGGGCAGCAGCCTCCTGCCAGCCTTACATCATCCGCCACCCTTTTGTTGTGTTTGTCAGAGTGAAGCAGACGGTGATAGTATGTTTCCAATTAATTAAATGCCTAGAGTGGGTACCCGTTTCATCCCGGCCGTGCATAAGCTCACGGTTGACATTTGCTCCCACTCATTGCCCCAGCCCCCCGGCCCACGACGACTTCAGAAAGGACCTGTTTTTCACCTGCCTTAACCGGACGATGTTGGTTACGGCACAAACTTCCTGGAGTAATTCGGGTCTCGGCGATTTTGCGCACCGCATTCTTTTCTACAAGCGGAGATTTACGTCAACGGTGTTTGACGGGAACTGCACGTGGCCTATGGTCATTGCTTCGTTGAATGGCAAGTGGACGATCGAAACTGGGAAAATTTTCTCATGACTTCATTGGCCTTTGCGGCAAATAAGGCCGTCATAAACTTTGCTCAAAGTAATGGAAGTGGTGGGTTAGTTGGATATGTAAAAAAATTAAATATCCGGCGAGATGAAATAGAACATGGTGATATTCGTGAAATATCCACTTTTATTTAGACTTAGGTCAATGTATACTGATAATATGCTCTTTTAAATATTTTTGTGAAAGACGTGTAAAAAAACTGGAAATGTATTGAAATCAAATAATAACTTGAAACAAACATAATCTCAAAGCATTTGCGAGTAACACCGACTTAATAAGATAACGTTTCTATTTAGGCAACATTTTGGGCAATTGCCCATTTTCACACAACATCGAGAGGCCAGAGAGGTAAAAAAAAGCTTTTTTGAAGACATTTACAATATTGAGAACGAGATGAATTCAAGTAAATTTGTGCAAATGGAGATAATTTTCACAGCAGCAACAATTTAACATTTGCCAAAGGTAGCGTGTCTCTTTTTTCAGCAGGGTTGAGTCTGGCCGATGGCTTGGTTGAAATACTGCCTGGTGGTGCCAGATGGTGTAGGTTTGTGCTGTGAGGTGACGAGGAGATACAACTATACAACTATTTTCTATTCCACTAGGTAAGGTACCACTGAACAAAGTGGCTTATCATGTGGAAATGTATAGCGGCCAAATCCTCGAAAGGCGTGTTTGGAAATTTGGAGGGGAAAACCGGAGGGTCTGGATAAAAATCCACGTGGCCATGGGGAGAACATGCAAACTCAGGCATCAGGGTCACAATCGGTCCCACGACCTCGTGTATACTGGCGCAGGTCGAGATGGTAAGTGCCACCAGTGGATGTTATTAATCTGTTTGGAAGGTTTTTTCCGGGTCCTCTGGTTTCCTCCCACAAGAAGCCAAAGCTCTTATTATTGAAATGGGCCAAACATCCCAAAGTAGCAGAGCCCTCCTGAGAAAGAAGATCGAGACTCATTGAGGCTTTCCCGGACAATTATCTTGGCATTATTGTTCAAAATAGCGAGATATGAAAACAAATCATATAAGAATTTCACCAATTTTTATTTAGCGAAATTAACTTGATTGTGCTCGTTAATTAACAACAGACCGCACATGAAAGAGAGAGGTCAAAATACTCTACACCGTTAGGGTCGGGAGGGGGGAAACAAAATTAATCCTTGATGCCTTAATTTTAAGAATTTTTTTTTATCTTCGTTTGTATATTTTTTTTGGTTTGCCCTTTTCGGTGATGAGCTATGGCATGGACCAGTCATCCTTCAGGGGTAGGGTGTTTTCAATTCCATAAGTTCGGCAAATAAATTTAGAAGTCATACATGTTTCATGTTGCTATCGGGCTCGGTGAGGTGGTGGCGGTTGGTGGCCGTGGGGCTATGCGTGGTCGTATGGGTGAGACAGAGTGAGGTGGTGGGGGTGGGGGGTGTTTTGGAATGAGTGAGCAGTGGGGATTTTGGCTGGGGTGGGGGGTGGTGGTCAGTCTTGTGAAAATGATGATAATAATGAAAGGCCACTAAGTTTGAGCCAAACCGGAGACCTTTAAAAGCTAAGGGGTGGGAACGCAAGATGGCACCAGATTTATTTTTATTTATTTCAACTCAACGCGGTGCACGGTACATAGCACTGATCGCAGAACAAGGAGGGGGGCATAAATGCCTGAGATAGACACGGCAGAGCTTGGTGAATAGAGGTGTATTGCACTCACTGCACTACCTAGGTGGGGTCCCTCTAGCAGAAAAGTAAACGTTTATATGAGGGGGGGGGGGGGGTGAGGGGAGGTAAGGGAGAAAATAACTAAAATAAAATGGAAGAAGTTGGATGGAAAAGAGGGGGGTTGAGGATCTTTCTTTAAATGTTGTATGTATGGTGAACTTCTTTCGCACCATACGTAGGCAAGCGTGCTAATCGGAGGTGCGGGGGAAGGACAACAAACTGAACACAAAAAGCAGTTCTAAAGAAATGAGTTTTCAATCCAGATTTGAAAGTGCACAGCTCCTTGTGGCTTCCTAACATCGGACGGAAGAGCGTTCCAGACGGCCGCCGCAGAAGCGCGCCTGATGTGGGCACCTGCAGGGAGAACTGGGGAATGTTGGGGCACAAGTGGCGTAGCTTTTATAGAGTGTGCAGGCGGTGCAACTGCACCGTGGCCCATACACCGGGGCCCAGGCGCGGGGCTTCAAAGCAAGTGGAAATTGGGACAGGGATCCCCATTTTTCACACTTTGCACCAGGGCCCATGCCAACCACGTTTCGGCCCCCTCATTTCTCGTTGTGAAAATTCACGACGGTCGTGCTGTTCACAAAAGCGTGCTCCGATCTCAAGAGGCGGTCATCGCAAACGTTTGGCAAGCCAGTTTAATTCGTAGGCTTTGGCGACAAATATTATTCATAATGCAGGTTGTTTTTGGGGGTTAGATCGCATACATAAACATGTCTCGTCAACCCGCCACCACCCGACACAGCCAATTAGTAAGGTTTGTCACGTAAACAAAAGTGCCCATCGGTTTGTACTTCAGCACACCGATGTTGTTGGAGAGTAAACCTGCAGCATTTACAATTTGAGTACGACGTTTCGCTAGTAATTACATCCAGCATCATCGGATAATTTTTCAAGCCCCCATCGAGCAAGTGTGTGACGAAAATGAGAAAGCGTTAACTTCCATCTAAATATTACGCCTCAATCCTTGACAAGGCTTCAGGGCTCTGCAATCGAGAGCACCCACCTGTGGATCTTGTGCGAAGGCGCGGCCTCGATTTTTATTTAAAAGCAAATAAACAGGATAATCATCCAAAATACCCATTCAGCCGTCGCCACGCTCGGGGGCAAGCGCTTATTAGCGAGCACCTATTTAGGCCAGCACATCAATCATAACGAATGAGGCCGTGGCGCGGTGTGGTTCAACACCGCACAGTCGTAACTGCAATTACCTCCCGAGGTACTCATTTGAAGTTGAATTATTTAATGTGATGCCAAACATGCGGAGTTATAAAGTGGCCAAGTATACGGCCGCGTGGAAAATAGGGTGCTGAACTCTTAGTATAGATTTTCGTTGTTGTTATTATTATATATATGTTACTGTATTCCTCTGTACGTATGCATGCGTGCATGTTTTGTATCCTCCTCCTCCTGGTGCCCTGGTTTCCTCCCACACACGCGCACGCGCGCGCACACACAAATAATCGGCAGAGAATTGGCAAAAGCTCTCAAGCGGGACGGTCGTGATGGGAGCCAGTGTCTCCGCAGCACAGGCCGATCTACAAAACTTTCCAAGGAGGGGAAGGGGTGGGGGGTGTGGGCATCCTGAAAAATCAACCTTTTTCTGTGTTTTAGTTTGTCGTCCGATCAGCACGTTTGGCTACGTGTGGTGCGAATGAAGTTCAACATACGCTTTGCTCCTTGGATCTTTCGGTAAAGTCACGTAGAAAATCAAATCAAATAATAATAGAATACGACGTTTCGGTTGCTACACAAGCAATCATCATTAGGTAAGAATGAATGGTAAAGCACAGACACGGGAACAGCATAGGCAGACACACGTGCAGAGAGAGACACACACACAAAGACACACCGAGCGAGACACACACCAACATACAAACAAGACCGTACATTAATAATAATACGAGAGCATTCAATGTATTGTCTCTGGGTAGGGGGGGGGATTGTCCTCATGACTCCCCTCTCCACCCCCCGCCTTTAATCCACCGCGGCTCCACTGTTGACTTCCCACGTTTGGGAAAAGCACAATGTTGCATTTCCGACTTGCTGGCGCTCACCGAGGCACAGATGGTTCTGTGCGAAAGGGTCAGGGTGTGTGGACACGCGCAGAGAATGACACTTTCACCGCTGTGCGCACGTATGTTTCTGGACAAATATGGAAATATAAAGCGCAAATTGCTTTAAACACCGTGGGGACATATGCTTCACTGTGCTTTAGAACTAAGACAGTGCATGTGAGATGAAGGACACATTCCTGTCCGTGGAAAGAACCCACCCAGCGGGTACTGGGTGGCTTGTTGCAGGAACACGATGGATAGTGGCGACCTGGGGCAGGCCTTCGTGCAGCAGTAGATTGATCATGGATGATTGATGATGGCACGAGAAAAAGTTCAACATGCATATATACACACACACACAACAAATCAGGACATATCATGGGAAGATGAATATCCCACAAGGCTGGAAGAGGTGGACAACTGCACGTGATTGTAAACGCAATCTCGGGCGCTGTATTCCTAAGCAACTGACAAAACGCAGAGACTTTTAACCGCCCCGCGGTAAGGACTCCCAGATTTCTACCAGGACAGTCTCCTAAACGCTCATAACAACAACAAACAACAAGGCGACACGGTCCGGGCATTATATATATAAAAAAAATGTTAAAAACCAGGACGCGGGCGGAAACCGTTTCACAGCTCAACCGGATTCCCCCGGTCGAAATAAACATTCCGATTCTGAAACTCAGGTCGCCAAGCTCACCGAGCTGCCTGCCGATCACTCTGGCCGCTGCTTCCCCGCAAGCATCGGCGCGCCGCGTGACACCCTGCGCGCGTCGCCCGCCCGCCCGCCCCCACAGGCCCGTACGAGGGCGGCGACGCGGGGCCGCCCGCGTACGGCTCGTCCGTCTACGTTCCCGACGACGTGTCGCTGCCCGGCGAGCTGGAGCTACGCGAGGCGCGCTCGCCCCCCGGCGCGGGCCTCGGCGTGTGGGCGCGGAGCGGCCTGCGCGCCGGCGACAAGTACGGGCCCTACACGGCCGGCGAGGGCGGCAGTCCGCGCTCCAAGGACGGGGACCACGCGTGGGAGGTGAGGGAACGCGGTGGCGGTGGCTTCGGGGGGGGCGGTCGTCGTTGTTGTTGTTGTGTGGTCCTCGTTATTGTGGGGTCGGTGACTCGTGCATGGATGCGACCTGTCCATCAGAGCAGCCCCTGTCGCGGCAGGGTGGCTGGACAGAGCTGACCCTCCCACCTCTCCCAATTGCACGATACCCAATTGTAAATTATTATTGTCAAGTCAAATAATAATCAGGTAGATCAGATAAGTTATGCTCCAAATTTGTTTTTCTGCACGACAGAAGAGTACTAAATTGGTCAAACACCCCCATGCAGGACGCTCCTGAAGGCTCAGCGAAGGTTTCCTGAGTAAGAAGCCATTCGTAGTTTCTCATTGTGTGCTTATTCACGGTTCACTCACTCAAATTGGGCTTTACCTGGTAAAATAAACTGAACAAAACAAAGAATTGGTCTGGCTTTGGGCTTGACAACTAGGACACTCAGTTCTTGGCTTCTGTGGTCTCCAGCAAAGTTACACCGTGTCTTGTTGCTGTTCTTCGTAAAAAAAAGAGCTCGCAAGCAGCCTCCAACTTAACATCGTAAAGCAATTGGGAGGCGAGGCCAAGTCACACGCATTGCCATATCAGCTTCACCCGTGTGCCTGTGTGTGTGTGTGGGCTGAGCGCACATTTAATCTGGAAGCATTCGGGCAACCGCCCATCTTTGCTGTGAGTCCCCCTACATTTTGCCGCTCCTGTCAATTGATCCACAATAGAGGTTTTTTTTTTGTTCGGTTAGATCGCATAGATATCAATGTGTTGCCCGTTAAACCCGACACCACCCCGACACAGCCATTGAGTAAGGGCTTGTCACGTAAAAACAAAACGTGTCAATTAGATACTAGTTCAGCACAACCCGGCGTGTTGGAGAGTAAACCCACAAAACGTTTACCATTCGCGCACGACGTTTCGCTGCTTTATACAACCAACCTCATCAGGCGACATGCTGTGTTCACGTGACAAACCTTGCTAATTGGCTCTGTCCGTTGGCTGCGGGTTTAACGACACATTTATATTTACGTGCTCTTACCCCAAAAAACCCCTCTATCATGGGCAATATTGATCGCGAAAGTCCTGCTACTACTACGACGTGTTATCCTTGTCAATTTGTTTAGCGCGTTGGGCCACTTAGTTCAGAAGGGTCGTGCAAACATCAGCACCGCTTGAAACCATGGCGATGATGGCCATGCCACAGCCAAGTGTGACTCCTGCGAATCCACAGCTGTGGGCCATGTGCTGGTAATGCAATGGCTCGCAATCTCGCGATGTTCGTGGTTATGTTCTTAACAATATATATAAACAAATAATCTTCACATTGCACAGCTGTCGTGAGAAAATAACACGCTTCAACATCCGCGCGTGTCTATCGGAATACATTAGGTCCGCAACAAAAACTCGTTTTAAAATATTAACTTCACAAAGAGAATTGTGAAAAGAAAATGAAAGTACTTGTGCCACGATTCATATAGATGCTTAGAAGCCTTTGTCAATCCACTGCTGGATGAAGTCCCTCCCAATGCTGTGTCATGGTGGCGAGATGTTAACTACGTTACCTGGTATACTGGAGGTCCTGGGTTCGATCCCGAACTTGATGCCTGTATATTTGGAGTTTGCATGTCTCTCTCTCCCTGTGGTCTTGCGGATTTTTCTCCAGGTCCTCCGGTTTTTCCCTCCACATTTAGAAACATGCGTTTAGAGTCTTTGTCTGCCATACATTACCACGTGATAAGCCACTTTGTTGAGCTATAAATATAATCTGTGGCCAGGCCACTTCTCAAAAAATAGCTATAAGGCTCAGTGGGCCTTACCTGCTAAAATAAAAAAAGCTTATAGTTTGCGTCAGTCGTGGGGGTTGTTTGAACATACTTCACCACGCCGATGTTGGAGGGATACGGCGACAGAGTGTTTAGCACACTGCCCTATGAGCTTGGCGACCTGAGTTTGTCTTCCTGACCACGGCTAACATCAGCGGCAGGCGATATCTAAAAGCGGTTCTTGGTCCCCACTCCGTGACTTCGCCGACCCGCACTGACCAACGTGGTTGAAGCGTTCACACAAACCAAGACACACCCTGTGATTTACACTACGTTGGAATGTGCCTCCATCCAGCAGTGGATTGTCAAGACCTGTAAATTACTCTCCGTTATTATCGTGAAGTATGGATGTCATTTAACCACCGCATTTGCTTGAGGAGCAGGTAAGTTGCGTGTGTGTCCTTTCCCCTGTCCCTCAATCTTTCGGCGTTTATCTCTCAAGTGACCTCTGTCCAATCACGTGTGTCGTTTGCAACCTATTGCAGACATGTTGAAGTGCAGACGTGAACGCCGCTGTGTGTTTTCGAACAAGCCAACCTTCACCGTTGCGTGCAAAGCCAACTGTGTGTACCGAACACATGCGTTTTGACACTTGTGGCAAGATAATCAAAGCGACATGCGCGAAGTGATGAAAAGTGAGCAGTTGTAGTTCAGGGGAGCAACGTGCATCTTTCGCTTCTATTATTTCAAAGAGAATACATTCATGAGTTCATATGATGACAAAGGTCCCCTGTATAGACTGTTGGCGCAAGTGCTGCTAGCACGGCACACGAGGGGGTGGGTGGCCAGCACCACGGCCGGCCGCCTTTGTCTCCCGAGTGGCGATGTTTACACACCGCGCCAGGTACTCGTTTGAGGCTGTGCCGACCTAGAGGAGGCCCAGGACTTGGTTCAGATAGTCGTCACTGGTGTTGGCCACTTTTCGAGAATCGAAGCCAGGTTTGTAGTGCGGCGTGCTAACCGCGACACTACCGCTCCCTCACCCGCACGCACACATGCAGGACACGTGTTTCCATTCTGCAACTACACCAGCAGCAGCAAGGACCGGCAGCAGGCTACCGACAGTGGGCTTTTACCCTTGCACGTTAAAGTACCGGCATTTAATTGCGCGCGCTGCAAGACACCCACAATCGGAGCAGGTGTGACGGGGCCGGATAACGAGCTCTTCAGCACTGCGCCCGCACGCGCAAAGACGAAGCAGTCAGGTGCGTGCGGCAGTGCACAGCCACCGCCGCAACGCAACGCAACGTGACGTGACGTCACAACGCTGCGCAAACAAAATTGTCTTGGGAAATTTTCCTCTCTCCACTAACCCCAAGGATGAATGTACACATTTTGACCGGTGCGGACAGGGAAACATATAATGCCGGGGGAATCCATCGGTTCCGCGACACCGCGTGCGTTTTTGTTGTTGTTGTTGTTGGGTGTGTGCACGTGCGTGGAGAGGGATCGGTGGTGGTGGGGGTCCTTATTTGGCTTATTTCACTCGCCTTGCTTATGGGAGAGAAATTCGTTGTTTGAGCTGTTACCCGACAAATTCAAGCATGTCCCACTTAATGTATCAGACTCAGAATCTTTATTTATACTGGAGAAATCCGATGAGCTATGAAGCTATTTTTCCACAGATGTCCAGTGAAGGGATAGGTCAGAAAGTTTCAACAGCAAGCAATCCATAAACACGACAGGAATGCAAAGTATTGGAGGGGGAAGAAAATTAATAAAATCAACTTTCATTTTACCAGGTAAAGCCCACTGAGCTATTTTCTTCTTTTTCAGAAGCGACCTGGCCACAAATTATCGCTCAACGACGTGGCTTATCACGTGGGAATTTCTAGCAGCCCAAATAATCTAAAATATATATCAAGTGTGACTCTGGTCAAGCTAGGCGACAACGTAAGATGCTGCTGCTGCACTCGTTTTTCTCTTTCAAAATGAACACGCGTCTCTTGATGGCCACGTAGGAGGCCCAGGGTCAGAGCGCTGAGCCAGTATGGCTGAGATGCTGGGTTTGAATTCAGCTTTTAGCCGCCAGCTAACGAAACACGGTTTTCAAGTGCAGATAATTGATGATATCAGTCCATCTAGCGATGAACACACACATTCGAACACTCTCACTTTAAATTAGTGTTTATTATTTATTTGGCTTATTTCAGCTCAGAGACGTTTTTGTTTGATTGCCACGTGACAAATGCTCTTTACGGGGCGTTACAAAAAATAAATGTGTGCCTGAAGTGTGGATATAGAGGCCTGTTGAAGTGACCTCAGAAGTAGTTACTTGATGTCATTTTTTAAGGACCATTCTTTGGCACAGTGTGGTGCACTGCTAGCTGTAGATTTTCAGATATAAATGTGTTCATCTTCTGACTTGGCATCGACATTATGTTTGGAATATAATAGTTGAAAAAGCTAAATAAACCAACTAAGCTTTGGTATGTAAAGTCCGAAGCACGATTCAAGTTAGCGTGCTGAAAAATGATGTCCCCTGATAGAAATGCTCAAATATAAATAAACAGAGGAAAGTGCTAATGTTAAATATGTAAAGTATTTTGTTTGAAATCAACTGTAATGGTTTATGGTACACGGATAAACAATTAAGACTTTGGTGTATAAACCACATTTTACTTGCTGTTGGCAATTACTCTTGGATGACAAGAGACAATATATCCTACTTATGAGTGGCAATACCAGAGGGACGGTTAACGAAGGAGAAAGTGAGAATGGGGGGGGGGGGGGAGCGATGCACACTCACGGGCTGCGGCATTGGACCCAGAGACATGACAAATGGGCACGCGGGACGGGCCAGACAGACACAATCGCTGCGCCGTAATTGACGGATTAGTAATCTCCATCTGGGTGTACGGTCACAGAGAGAGTTTAATGAGATTGTATGATTCGCTGGCGTAGTTTGGACTGGCGAACGCGACGCTGGTGAATGCTATTAGGGGAGGCGTTGTCTCGTGTAACTATCAAACTCAGCAAATATCCCATTATCAGAATGTGTTTTTTTTTCAGATACATTTGATTTGCTGCGAATACATAGGGCAATGTTTGATATGCGTTCATCGAAATATTTCAATGGCCAACGCATCCTGAAAGCATCCCATCTCGTCAGATGGGTCCACCTCCAGGGCTTGCCAGGTGTTGTAGGGCGTGCGGCTGCG